AGCTCCTGGGATTCTGGGAGCTGAAGTCCCTCGGCCCTTAAAGGGGAAAGGTTGCCTACCCCTGACCTAAACATTAGGAAAAAAATTCTTTACCGTAAGCAGTGGTGTCACTAGGGTTAGTGTCACCCGGTGCGGTAGCTCATGGTGTCATTCCCCACCACCACCACATTGATCTCCTCCTATACCACACTCATACAGAATCCTTAGTAATGTCTTTTGTATTAATTTACACATAAATTGTAATTCCCATATATCACTGAATGTAATGGTACTGGTTGTGATGTAAACTGTTTGATTATGGAAGAGATTGCCTGGGACATGTGTGTGAACTCTTTTTCTTTGGAGGTCTTTAAGCAGATGTTGGATGGGCATCTTTCATGAGGATGGGTCATTGTGTATTCCTGTGTGATAGGGTTTGGATTAGAAGACCCTTGTGGCACTTTCTAAAATTTATAATTCTATGATTAGCTATGCTAAGGAGAGCTGCTGGAAACTCTAATTCAACATCTGGAGGGCCACCCAATTTCTACTCCTGACATAAACTGACCTTTCAGCTAATATTTTATTTTATTTTTTTAAAAACTTTCTCCATTGCTTCTGATAAGGGGGAAAGACCTTAAGGCTGGCATAATTTGTGGGGAAATATAAGTAATGCTGGAGGTATGTGTAGAGAACAGGAGGGCAAAACATGAAAATGTTGGGGGTATGTCATGGTTAGGGTTGTCCGATCATGATCATCCCAGGTCATGAGGTTTCAGAACCCAAACCTGAAACCTAGAGACAATCCCTGGGAATATCATTAAGCTTTAAACACAAAGTACTAACCACTGTTGCTCACTTGTGAAGACAGGATAAGGAAATTTAATCTAGCCTAGTTGTTTCTCGGTAGAAGGTGGATGCAGGGTAGGGTAGAAGGAGAGCCCTGGCACCACAACAACTGTGAGAGAAAGAGGAAGCTAAATAGATACATACACAGAGACAGAGACAGAGAGTCTTGGCAAGTTGCAGCAACAGATCACTTAAACCTGGCAGAATGTAGCCAGTGGCTGACTGGAAATCTGCACCCAGTCCTTTCTTCTTGCCTGGAGCTAAGTGCATCGAAACTTGAGAATTTGCACCACTGTCTCCTGGAGATGACTCATAAAAAGATGCAAGGCCAAGATCTGAGATCTGGCAACCTTAATCAGGGTAAACAAGAGGGCAACTCAATACAATTGAAGTATAAGCCTATAAAAGCTTATGCTACCAACTTCTTTCTTTCCGTCTCAAAGATGCTACAAGACCCCTTTCCATAGGCAGAACTTTGTGCTGATTCAGTATGGCTCCTCTTATGTTTTCTCCAGATGCATCCACTCTTTTACAATGCTGACTGCCTTTAGAATCCAGCTTTCAGGGGAACTTTCCACTACCTGAAAGAGATCTTTTGCCTACAGAGAAGGAAGTCCACAATGTTGTATGGCCCCAGGATACGCTTTCTGCTAAAGGAATCAAAAGCAACAATAACAACAAATTAGCGAGCAACAAATCATTTAGAAAGTCAGCTTGGTGAAGTGGTTTGAGTGTTGGACTGGGCGTTCTAAGAATCAAAGATTTGATTCTCTGTTCAGCCATGGAAACCTACTGGGTGACCTTTGACAAGTCACACACTCTGACTTCCTTTCATTCCATCATGCACTGGGATTTGAGAATCCTTCCTTCTACTCTTCAATCATATCTCTTTCAACATTGTTTTAGACACTAACATGATTTTCAGCTCTTCCTCAGGGCTCTGTCCTGGGCCCAGTGCTATTCAATATCTTTATCAAT